AGTCAAACTGATAGCTATACTTATAGCATTGATAAACATTTTATAGCAAATATTCATTCATTAGTTAGCCAGGCCGTGTTTTCTGTACAACTTGAGGCATGATGGTCTAACTAACTAATGAATGAATATTTGCTATAAAATGTTTATCAATGCTATAAGTATAGCTATCAGTTTGGCTGCCAATTTTGAGTTCATTCCTTTAAGTCGCACACTCAGTCCTTTTTTTCACACCTAGGGTGCTTTTGATCAGTTATCATGACTTTTTGTCAATGCAAACCACAGGACGTAAGAACACACACTTGATAGTAACCAACATTAGCTATAGGATTGCAACTCTATTATTTGGAACAGACCTATACTTTCCAGAACCAGCCAGATTCTATAAATATATGGGGTAGTTTTTCCTCTCTAAAACAGTGGTAATAATTTATTTTATAGTAATGCCATGGAATCTAAATTAATAGTTTCTTGTTATCACCCACATGCATTTTGTACAGCCGTATCAAGCATTGTTATTTAAGCTAATTGCTTAACTCTTTCCACACGGATCAAAGGCCATGACATCACATCTGTTGACTCGCATTAAAATTTTTATTGAACTACTATTTTATGAATTTATGTCAATAAGTTTGGTATTATAATTAAAATTTTAGTATTATACATTATTTAATTTCTTAATTTAAAAAAGTAAATATTAAAAAAAAACCTAAACATTGATTTTTGTGTGGAATGTTGAATGCAGCACTGGTCCAAAATAGATGTTTGTGATGTTAAAGTACAAAGTCTGTAGTTTCATACAAATTACCAATATTGACAAACTAGAATATAAAATAGGAACCCCCTATCTTTTCTATTTGCTATATCGCTCATGTACTGAATCAAGCACAGTGGCCCTGCTAACCTCTTTCCATTTTTGGAAAAACTCCCTTATATACACTTCTGTCTATGACATATGAATAAGCAATCAAAAACTCAGAATGTCCCCTAGTGGCTTTCTCAGCCATTTTCAAGTATTATGACATAATCTCATTCTTTCAATATAAAACTTCAAGGTGGTAAGTTGAGTCTTTAGTCTGCTTGAAATTTCATATTTTTTAGACCCAAATACAGCTTAGTTACTATGCTTATTAAATTATAGTGGAATTCTGTTATATCAGTATAGTAATTTATGACTTTTGGTAATTTAAAATGTATGTATAAAACCTAAATAAATTATTTTGTTTCACATCCTCCACGTGCAAAATTTTATAAGGCTTAGCAACCTACAACAAGCAGCAAATTAATTCAAAGGTCATAACTAGAAGAGATAATTGTTTGCTTTACTTCTTTATTTACTGTTCTATGTTTTAAGAAAAATAAGTTAAAGAACTTGTTTGTAAATAGTAATAATGTTTATACATAATGTTTAAATATAATGTATAATAATTGAAATGTGACTGTATTTTACAAAATGCTAGTTCGCTAAAACACAGATCACTTTGTAAAGACTAAAGGCCAGTTTTATATTATCGGATACAGTAACATGAGTGCATGTGCACCGCATCATTGTAACTTCTGTATTGTTAGCCAGGCATGGCTGAAGGTCAATATATATGATAATGATAATATATATAAATGTATAATGTTATTAGATTTAA